AAACCATCCCCAATTTCACCATAAATAGGTGCTACAAACCATTCCCAAATGGGTGGTTTATTATTATTGTTTTACCCGCAGTATTCCACATTCTGAGCCTATGTATCAATCATGATCAACTTTCTACTAGTTTCAAGGATTATCCCAGTATCAACGAGCGACAAACTTTGTGGATTCTGAGAGAACTGGGAGAATACAACAAAGGATACTCAAGTGAAAAAATGTGAAGAACAGTCGAGTTTCCTGATAACACACTTCACTGGGCTACAAAAACTTCACCAAACAGTTGAGATATCTCGATTTGCTCCACATGTCAGCCATATTCAACCATCAATTTCTGATATGTCAAAACCATTCTTCAAACATGTTCCATTCTCCAGAAAAAAAGGGAATCTGGTTTGGGAGGTATACCCTCTGGTAAAGTAACATAGCTATGGAAAATCACGATTTGGAATAGGTGAATCAACTATAAATCACCATTGTCAATAGCTATGTTTGTTAAATCACCAGAGGTATACCCCATTGACCCCATATCTCCAAAACGGCTCCTGCTCCCACATGGCAGGGGTCTTCGCGGTGATTCGCAGGGAATGAAATTTCAAGGAGCCGTCCTCATGGAGGAGTCCAGTTCTGTGAAGGCCACAGGGGGTCATAGCTCTCTTGACACATGATGATATCAACTACTATAATATATATATATATATAATATACACACTAAGAAATACATATATAATATACACTTACTTAGACACCATATATATATGTATACACATATGCATCATATATATATATATATGTGTGTTTTGTATATAATATGATTCCTGCAAGCCACAGATTTTGGTCATGTTTGGTAGTGCCTCCCGCCTCAGCCGTAAAGAGGCCGTTCACCAAGCGATGTCTCTGCAAGGGTTTCAGGCCATCAAAGGCCTCCAAAACTGGCTGTGGATGCCTGGACTATTCACTCACATATGTGGGTTTTCATCAATGTGATATATATATATATATGTATGTATGGTATATATGGTTAATACCACCCATTTGGCAATGGTTTATACCAACTATGTATGTTGAAATGATGATTAAATATGATGTGTGATTAATAAATGAATAATAAATGGGGATTAATGGTTAATTTGTGATTAATGATTAATGGTTAATTAAAATGATAGATGATCATTAATGGATGATAAATGGTGGAACCATGATTCACAATGGTTAATAACAATTAACAATGGTGATGAATGATTATTAATGATGATTCATGGGGGAGTCCAAAAATAGTTGGTTTACAATGGGCAATCCGATTGAAACGGATGATGACTGGAGGTAAGCCCTATTTCAGGAAACCACCATATCTATCTATCTCTATCTAGCCATCTATCTACCCATCTATCTACCCAGCTATCTAGAATCTGTCTAGAGTCTAGAGATCCTAGAATCTACCCAGAACCTATTCAGAATCTATCCAGAATCTATCTAGAACCTATCTAGAATCTTCTATCTAGAATCTATCTGTCTGTCTGTCTGCCTGTCTGTCTGTCTATTTATCCATCCACGTTACATATGCACAGATAGATAGACGAGTGATTTCTTTTTATTATGCAGCTTGGCGGCAAGCCTATGCTTCCCTCCGTAGAATAGAGTTAATTTGGGATAATTTGGATATGTACCAATATTAACTCTATCACACATTATCTAAATTATGTAACATCTCATAATATCAATAACGGTTCTATGTTTGATGCAATTTAACGGTTCTTGGGGGGATACACATCATCACACAATGGGCACTCTCAAATCAAATCAGCAACCACCGGATCCTGGGTGAGAAACGAAAAAGGCACCAGAAGATATATGGTATTTTGTATCAACACCTATCCCATCCCATTATACGGGTTGGTTCATAATATATCCCTATGGACCAGGTTCTCATACACTATATTATGGGATATTAATTGCTTCATATTAACAACAACAAACAGTTCATATTTCCATGATATATTCCATAAGTTTACTTACGGTTCATGTACTGGTTGCTTTTTTTTTCACATTACTTTTAGGGATATGAATTGGTTCATAATATCGCTAGGTATCCCCAGGGTTCCATGGAATCCATGACCCAAAAACGGTGAAAGTACATAGCTCCTGTGGGGTCAACCAACTATTAATGGGCTAAACTTCACCTCTAAACAGTGGATTTCCCATTGGAAAAAAAGACCAAAGATCATCAACAAACCATGATTTATCAACTACACTCCAACTATATAGTATCTCCATCTTATGATTGTCAAAACCCCTAATGCTAGTAAAACAATAATAAACCACCCATATTTTGATGGCTTATACCACCCATTCACGGTGATTTGGGGATGGTTTACTGTTACTTTACTAACATCATGATTTTTTTTACTATTCAATGTTGACTATTCATGATTTATATACGTATATATGTATATGAGCTATATACACCAGCAATCCAGCATTTATATACTAACAAGGGTGGTTAATATATATATATATAATAATAATAATCTTTACTAACATGTACTCTATTTGTGATGCTGAAACAACTCCATTTTCACGAAGCCATCGAGAAAACCGACGCCTTCGAGACCACCAAGACGTGGAAGTGAGATTCGTCGCTCTTGCGGCCATGGGACTCGTTCTTCACCTGACCGCTGAACGGAAACAGTTGGGAAACCCCAAAACGGAAACAGTTGGGACATGCCATGGGAAATACCATGCTTAAGCTTATAGTCTACCATTAAGGTGGGGAATTGGGGTAACTCTGCACCCTTGATGTGGCTTGAGGCAAAAAAAAAACAGACAGTTTCCCGTTTCCCAAAATAACATCGAAAATGACTAGGGTACCGGGGTACGTCCAAATTATCCAAGATTGTGACTAGTCTATTCTTGCAATGAGTATTGAAACTGAAACCCGTAGCTTAAGGGCACCTCACAAAAGTTTAGAAACACCCAGCGGTGTATTGTGCAACTGTTCCATTGCCTCTTATGCATTAGTTCTAGCCATAAGCTGCAGGTGGAATTCGGACCATGGCCTATGCAATTAAACCCTCAATGTAGAAGTTACAGTAGATACCAAATACCAGATGTATAGCAATCCCCAATTAGGTCCATTTTTTGCTGGGATAGTTGGTCTTGTCTGAAAAGAAGATACCACAAATCCAATGTTCCCAATAAACATCGCCATTTTGGCCGCATACCTTAGATCCTCAAATTGCCAGACATTCCCTGACCACCACTCCATCCTCCATGGCTAGGCCGGGATTTCTCAGCTAGCTGATTCGCCCAAGCTATTCAGAACCTAATGTTCTTTCTTTATGTTCAATCATGTTATAGCCATTGTGGGTTTATACCACATTTTTTTTGAAGTATAAAGTTGGTTAGTTGTATCCCATCTACCAATATACACGAGAAAGCATATCCCACGTACAGATGATTATATATATATACACGTTATTTACATCATCCATTAATTATAAATATCCCAATAAATTCACCCACATGCCACCGCACCTCTAAATGAAGGGGTTGTAGCTCTGACTGCAACCGTTCCTCAATGTGTTTCTGCCTCGGGCGCCCCGGCGGGCAGAAACGGGTTCCCGGTGGATCGGGAGCAAAGATCCACCAGTGGCAACAGCTGCAACATTTGGTGGCGCAAAATGGCGCAAAGACTAAATCCCGAATGTGATTTGTGTATGTATATAATATATTATATATGTGTATTGCAATAAACAAATATTTACATAATACATATATAATATCATATAATTTTAAAAATATAATAGAATACACTATGATATGATATAAGAATATGATATGATATAATATAATGTAATAAATAAAAACACATGTAGATATAAAGTGATATAGATATAATAGCGTATATAACGTATATACGTACATACAATACACCAAAATATCCAAATCGGAATGGTCATGTGTCATTCCATGTTTTTCTTGTTGGCTCATCAATATTATACCCTCAAGTTGGTTCATTTTAGCAATGTTGCCCTCTTAGCATTCACAAAGTCTTCACAGATCCGGCGCGAAAAATGGTACCCCGGGTACCCTGCAATGATCAAGCTATACTGGTTGGTGGTTTCAACCCCTTTAAAAAAAAATATGAAAGTCAGTTGGGATGGTTATTCCCAATATAATATGGAAACATAAAGAAATGTTCCAAACCACCATCCAGTATATAATTACTACTGGATAGCCATTGCATGTAAATTAGAGGTACCTACCATATATCATCAGGCTTATGAGGGATAAATTTCAGGGAATATCCCCACAACATATGGCCAAAAAATATAATATGGTACCAAGAACTGGTTATCTAAAATATACCCTCTAGAAAATCCCCATCAATTTCCCACAGAGAAACCAGGACAAAAATCCAACCAGCTACGTTTTGATTACCAAAGGGGTAATCCAACCTTTGACCATGGTTTTGCCTTTGCTCCCGGACACTGGACCATAGAAACCTCGTGTCCACCTGGCGAAAGTCTCGGGATCCACAGGCCAGATCAGGCCAGGCCATATTTCCTGTTGGCCCGTGCCAAGCCTTTCGGTGCCATTCCATTAAGGGGTGCTTGATTTTGACTGCCTAAATATATCCGAATACTCCTTTGTACCTATAGACACCAACAAAAACTAGAGAAGTCACAGAGAGTCCTAAGATTCTGGGGTAAAACACTATTTTTTGGCTACTTGCAGGGTCTGCCTTGAACATGGCAAAGTCTACGCAAAGCGTGCTACAATCCCATAGGGTCAAGCCGATAAGCCTTCCATCCAGGAAGGCCAGTGGTTGGTACGATGACAAGCCGAGCCCTTCGAGAAGGCCCTTCGAACGTTCATCGGTCATACAGATCGCCGGCAGATGTCTCACAAAACATGGCAGGGTCATACCCCAGAATCCGCATGAATGCGATAATTACCATGGTCTTATCGTTCCTAGATGTTCCATGATGTTCCCATCATTGCCACGGGCCCAATGGGACCTCGGCGTCAGTCGTCTGGCCTGCCAGTTTCATGATGTCTTTTGGAATCCTGGTGCTTGGATGGCTGATCGCCGGAACGAAAGCTACCATGGACTAAGGCCTACTAAGGGTCCCATCTGTGGGCTCAAGCATTCTCAAGGGTAGAGCCATATTCTCTGCTATTTCCCATTGAGAATCATCCATTTCCGATATCCACACCTGGTGCAGCATGGCTCACCCCAATGCCACGGTGCAGCAGAGAGATGATCGGAGATGATCTGAGATGTGGAATTTTATTCATTTTGCTGTTTTCTGACGTCTATCAGAGTATTAATTATTAGTGATGTGCATGTGTTGATGTTGAATCTTCTGGGCATGACATCCCACTAGTCACTATAGTATCATGGTGAACATTCCAAATGAACACAATAGTCAAGATGTTGGGATAAGCACAGAACTGTTTTTCCACCGCCTGATACGTGTGTGCTTGGATGGGAGTATCTTATCCACTGCAGGTCATGTTTGGGCATCAACTGGTTGAAACCTACCAAAACCATCCAGGTCTTAGACTTCTTCGGCGTTGAGACTCTGCAGACTCATCAGACTCTGCCCCAGTTTCTTGCAACTTGAGACAGCTCAGCCATTGAAACACGCTAACATCCGGCTGTATCAGTGATCAAAACCTGCTGAGACGAGACGAGACGCCCCCCAAGCCCAAGTGCGGAGTATGTGTATATATATATATACATATACCTTGGGGGTTGGTCCCCCAAAATGTTGGGCCAAGATCAAAAAATATGGGGTTTAATTAATATGAGTTGATAAGATTAATTTCACACAATATTAAACCACTGAGTTTGGACAAACCCACATCACCCGACTGTTCTGATCTGATGTCCAAATACTTCACCTTTCAGCGTCAAAAAGAACTGCTCGGACGCCTTGGTGCACAGATTATTTTTTGGCCAGCCATGATGTAGAAAAAGCAGAATTGAACGAATATTATATTATATATTATGTATAGATTTTATTTTTTTAAAAAAATGAATTCCATTGAATGTTGGCAAAAGCGACCCACCACACTGGTTCAACTGGCTGACCTCCAATTTGAAAACCTGAAGGTATTCTCACTCGAAGGTTGTGTTCGACATTTGGAGATGGCAATGTTCCACACCAAACTTCAGACGCAAACCTCAATACTCCACAGTTCTTGTTGGTAAATTCATCAGAAGTAAAACTCACTACTCTCAGTCTAGATGATGTACAAAACATATTAGCTTTGTCACCATCGTCCAAACCCTGCTGCGCTCGGAAAACCCTGCAATTTTCAGCCAAACAATGATGGATCTGCAGGTGAAGTCAATGCCAGGGCGCCAGGGCCTGTTCCAAGACCCAGGAGGCCCTCAGGGATGTCCCAATGATGGGTTGTCGTGCATCAACTGCCCTGATCTTACTTTGTTCAAAGTTCCAGTATCATTAGTCTTGATTCTTCGGTGCAAACATGTAAGACCCACAACCTACATCTTTTTGGGTGGACTGTCTATAGGTGATGGTAGCTGACTGCCTGATACCTATTCTGGTGGCATCTACCCCCCTTCTATGTCATTGTGTTCGTGCATCGATTTGCTACTCAGCAAAGGTGACTCTCGAGCTGTCGTGAAGGGTCACATGTTATTCACCAATGAAAACGGCTACGCCTAAAATGGGGGTCCCATAAATCATCCATTTTAAACGGATTTTCCATTATAAACCATCCATTTTGGGATACCCCCCATTTATGGGAAACCCCCAATCACCTACATGCACTGGCCTCTCCCATCATCCTGCTTGTGACACTTCCTGGCACCAGAAATCTCTGCGAGCAGCAAAACATAGAAAACATGCATTGGGTTCAGAGAAATTTAACATGACACCATTATTTCGATGTACCCCCTATTACAGGGTCTCCAGGTTTCCCTCCAACCAAGTCCAAGATGAAAATTTTGATGCTGTGCCACATGAGGTAAAGTTGAACCAGCCTCTTGCAAGGGTCGGTGGTTGTTTAGAGAGGGTTCAACATCGAAGAATTCAAAACTTAGTTTGTGTTTTATCATCATCATCATCATCACCATCATCATCATGCTTATTCATTCTCCACCATGAACCATTGCCATGAAAAAAAACTGAAATATCATTGATTTGAATAAATTATGGTAATTCCATTAGATTCTTAAACCCCATTATTTTCCCATTGACATGGTCAACAGTTGGTATTCCACAACAAACTAACCTTTTGCTGGTTATGGCTATGTGTCATTTATAGCAACAACAAAAACAAAGGATTAAACTACCCATCAAAGGTTGGGGATGACAATATGAAGCTTTCCTGAAATAGGGGTACCCCTAAATCATCAATTTATAGATAGATTTTTCTATTATAAACCATCCATTTTGGATTTTTGGGTACCCCCACCGCCCCCCCACTCCCCTTCGATGCCTCTTTGAAGAGTTCTTCGTCAGGGATCACCTGAAGGAAAGATGTGGACATGTGGAAAATCTATATAATTGAAATCTGGGGAAAAAATCATATAGTGATTTTATCTGTGATTCTCATATTCTATTAGCTGAAATGTCTATACATGACAGATAGGCTTTATGAGGCTTTATGTCAGTAAATCATGCCAAATGCCGATTCACAAATCCGAAATAAAAAACAAATGTTGAGCGAGTCGTTTTACGGACTCCCATCCAGGCAACCAAGGTGCACGTTGCAGCCCTAAGATCCCATTGTTAATAAAGATTGCTAATGTTTCATAGTTGCTGCAGCGTTTAGAATGGTTCCTATTGCTGGAGATTTCTGAAAATAATTCTGGAAACATGGCTACTTAACAAAGGTCAATCATGCCGAACAATGCTTGAGAATGATGAACAATGCTACAGAATGGCTAGCAATAATGATCAACAAATCTATGGCCAATAGTCACGCTTAATCACTCAATCCTGAACCGAAGGAACCCAAGTGAGACAATCATTAAACCCTGATCCCATTTGTTCAGTTTAGGGGTGTTACAGCCATCCCAAAAGTGTGTCACAGCCAATATTACTTCTTACGTTTGAAAGGTGTCAATTTCATTTTGAATCTACCAAGACCCTCGAAGTACCTAAAAACACGGAGTAATTAATATGCCAAGTATTTTGGAGCACTTGCCCATGTCTTATGGGCCCTTGGAGGGTCTAAGTTTCCCATGTCGTGACACAGTCTCCTGTGATTCGTCGGTTCCCGCATATTACAAAGATGTTTGTGTGTTCGATCTCCCTACGGAACCCATCTCAGAGTTGAAGGTTGGGGTATCCCGACACTTCCTCTCGTCTGGGAAGCTGTTACCAAACTAAAATCTGCATCCACTCCTAACCTCTGGAGACCGGGGTACACCTTATCGTTTCCTGAGTTCACTGCAGTCGCAATGGACCATGATGATAAACAACCATCACTGGATTGTGACATGACTGTGGAAAGAGTCTGACATGATTCGATCGTTCTGGTTTACCAATTTTTGGGTGAATATGAACGCAATATTGTCCCATAAAAAATGAAAACGCATATAACATAATAGCAGCCCCGAAGAAAGATAGACAAGTATACATCTTTTGTTGGTGTGTTATTTGAATGTGTTCCCTTTGACATTCACGTGCATACTGGTTTCCATCTTCCCCCTCACCGGCGCCTCGCCCACATCCAGCTTCAGCGCCTTGCCTCAGGATGGAGACATTGGACAACCGAAACTGGAGAATCTAACGATCTGAGCAGAATAATTCAGCCCAGTGTTACTATAAGTACTGTGTCAACTAATGAGTTTATGGAATATACGGAATACGGAGCCAAACAAATCTAGAAGTTTGATTCTGAATGGTTGAAGACAATCGTTAAGGCTTCGACAACTTCAAGTCCAGTGCTAAAACCTGCCTGCTGGGCAGGGATCGGCGACCGCAAAGCCTGTACCACTTGGCCCAGAAATCGGCGCTTGCGGACGCTTTGCGTAGGCAGTGCAGCCGCCATTGTACCGGCGTCAACCAGAGAGGTAGCTGGGCTTTGTACCTGACAGGTTGTACGTAGCGTAGAACGGGCACGGCAGAGATTTCCAGAAGGAAAGTCACGAAGGGGTTGACAATCGACTCTGGCATCGTATCATCAGGAAGAATGTTTTTTCTTTCATGTGCTGGCTTTACATAATCAGACTAAAGATTGAGCTGCCACGTGATGGCGTGCCTTGGTCAATGTGCCAGGGCTCTGCGTCGATGTGCGTCTGAACGAGGTATTCGATGGGAGTGGCGACGGCGCCTTCCTATATAGGGGCAGCACATGCAAGCTGTCTTTACGGTCAGCATAGAATCTAGGAGTGACACTTCTAACGCCCCACCTCCAAGACCTCGACGTAGTTGACACCGACGCGGTGCGGCAAGCTGCCATGGGGTCGAGCTGTCGCACAGCAACCCCGGCACCTGTTCGCTCCTGAGGATCCCGCACCACCTGGCAAGCAGAAAGAGTGAACTGGGTGGCTTTGAAGAACCAGAAAATGGGGCCATAACAACGCTAAATGTTTGGCAAGGTATATGATGCAGAAACCCGGCCTTCTGCTCAGTCTCGGGTCGTGCCCGGTGCTTTGACAGATCCCAGGCGGCGCGGGTGTTTTGCTCTGTATGTGTGTGCGCCCGGCTTTTTTACCCTCAGACAACAACTGCTTCGGGAGCTTGTCTGCGTTGGCTCTGTCCTGCGAAGATTGCACACAGCATGATAATGCATCGAGTTTCACAAAAGCCTGGCCAACCCAAACAATGTTATGGTAGCGCGGTGACTACACGTGAGGGAATTAGGGGTTGAAGTTGAGCTTGCCTGAGGAGAGGCGCAGAGCATGGTGCGCAGCTTGCAGGCAGCATGCAGCTGCGGCACTCAGCGCGGCAGCGCAAAGCTGTCCGCGCTTTCCTGTGGATGCGCAATAAAACAAGGAAGACAAAAGAGAATTGCAATGGTCATGAAGACGTGGGCTTCGTTGCGAAGAACGGTAGAGGTATAATGCACGCAGAGCATAATTTATGTCTTGACTTTTTGTTTGATTCGAAAAAAGCAACCGCGGGCCTGGACGACGTCGAGCCCAAGGTGCTCCTCCGCACCATCGACTCCGGCAGCATACCGGAGTTTGGCAGTGGACTTTCGGAGGAGCAGCTGCCACTGATGGTCTTCGTCCTGTCAAATAGGGCAGATGTAGGGGACAAGGGAGATCAGCATATCCA